ACTCTTTCCGGTAGCACACAATCATTTGAGCACGCATGTATCTTCTCATACTCTATTCCCAAAGTGCTTAGCTTCTTCTTAGCCTCATACGTAGCAACCGACGCTTGATTATTATATGAAAGTGCAGCTTTTAAAAATTCTAAAAGTTCTGTGAAATTTGAATTTGACAACCCACCCGACGCTTTTAAGTTTCACAATCGAATCAAACAACACTATTTCGTATTCTTTACACAAAGACTATACAATGGTGTCTTTACATCATCTATCATCTTCTCAAATATCTTTGGTCAGTGTACAAATTCTTCCTCCACATCATTTATTATTTCGACCATGTCCCTGTCATCTTCTTCATAATAAACATTAGCATTCTTCTTAATTTCCCTAAGCCGCTTTCTCGGTGTTTGTGTGTGTATAATCTTGTTTATAACGTGACATGAATATGCATAATTCTTCGCATTAAAATTAAAACATACACATACTTGAAACTAACTGCACTGTGAGTCAATACATGACATTTAGCCACGTCACTTACTGCACTATGGGACAATAATTATAATCAATAGAAACATAATATTCATAACATCACATAAAATATTCAGATAAGTTGCTCCATTGAAATCTTGGAACATGCCGTAAAATGTTACAGTTGACTTCTTTCTTTCTCCGCGGTTTTGTGCTCATCGACGGATTATTTGTAGGGATGGCAATATTTCCCACAAAAATAGGGCATATTGTTCCGAACGGGCTGGGAATGAAGGACAATCATCAGGGATGGACACAAAATTTAGTCCTCGAGTCTTGATGGAGACGAGATGGGATAAGAACTCCTTATCCTTCCTTCGCACTGATATTTTTCTTATGTATATATGCATATATATATATAATTATTTAAAATTATTTTTTATTAAAAAAGGAAAAAAGGTGACAAAGGTTTAGAATTTGATTTGTATTATGTAACCTTTAGTTTGGTCGAAATATCTTAAGGCATGTAATCAGCAGTTGAATTGAACTTACCTTATCAGTTAAAAAAAAAAAAAAAAGACAAATACTTACCTTAAGTTTTCCGAAGTGTTTGCTCAGATGAAGAAACCAGACTTTTCTTAAATAACCCTTCCCTT